AAGGAATAGGAGATATTTTTAGCTGCACTTTTATATTAAATACTCCGTAATGGATAGTTGCTACTAAGTTGCATATTTTTCATGTATAGGCAAAATTCAAAATTTCTGGTTGGCTCCTTGGAGGGTTTTTGTTGCTTATTTGCCTTATTTTATTTGTTTACCCTATTTTATTTGTTTGTTTGCGGGATGCTGCATAACAACTCTGTGTTTTAGCAGAAAGGTCCTCTTTCACTTTAGGGAACACAAACTCTTTTTAACTAGTCAATTACTTATAGAGTGATTTACTAATTAATCATGTTGGTGGCATCTTGAAAGATTCATCCAGCGTAGTTTTTTAAAAATGTGAAATAGCTGGCTTCAGTAGGGACAATCCACTAAAAGAGATGAACGCATACCAGATTTTCCTGGTTACAGCTTCTTATGCCCAGAAACTTCTAATTATTTTCCTGCTGAGCTTTTAGCTTATCTTTAGAATGGAGTTTTTTAGGCCTCCTAGCTAAAGCTGCTGCGTATATTAACTGAATCTGCTTTCGAACTACGCAATTACCTACTTGGATCCCTAACGATGATCTCCTCTCAGCACTTCCGGCCTCATCAGGAAATAAGAATATGCCTGCCAGAGACTATTAGCTATTTTTCTGTGTTTCTTGTCCATCTGACTATTCCATGCGGGAAAGCCTTTGGATAACTTTGAATAAAAACTAGCTGTACTTCTGGTGCCAAATGAAACTGATTTCCTGAGCTTATGTCCATAAATGAGCCTATTTGTGAGGTCTCAATTGATATCTTATACCTATCAAAATGTAAACAGCCCTGAACTCTAAAGGAACAGATAAAATGATAGGCAAGTTTCGCAAATCTCCTTCATTGAAACAGAGCTTGTCCTGTCTCACTCCACTAAAAGATAAATTTGCTTTCTGAAATGCACTCCAGGAACTTTGCTTCAAGATCTTTAATTATTCTATATACATACGTTGTTCCCGCAATATCTTTTTAATATTTAATTTTTGAATTTTAACTAAGGTTAAAACTGAATTGAATGTTTCTGCCCCCCACTCTTAGGAATGAAAAATTCTATTTGAACTGGTCGGGATTCCTGTTCACACCAATGTTAATAGTCCTCTGATTTCATGGAATTTTGCATTTTACACAGTGCTTGCACAGAGCAGCTTCCACTTGATCATCTTAAAATTATATTCAGACTCAGCTTTTGCTCTCAACTTGGTATGAGAAATGTGCATAAGTAAGATTAGTTATGGAATGGCCGTATCATAACCAACTGTTTGCATGGTATATTTGCTGTCATTGTACATTGTAACATGTGAATATTGGCTCTATCCTTGAATAAATTTCAAATGTTAAGGATGACTTTACAGAAATCAGTAATAAAAAGAACAGATCTTTTAATTTCCCCTTACAATTCCCTGTAAACACTTTATGACACTTGGCAAATTAAATAACATTTCTCCTCTTAGTACCATTCATTCATTTCACAAATATTTATGAAAGTCCTACTCTAAGCCAGGCACTCCACAGCCCCTGGAGAGAATCATACCGTGAGCCCTTAGGAGCCCTTCATGGTAACAGTGGATGAATAAGACAGACTTGACTCAAATGGTCACCAAAAAAAGTCAGTGTTTCTCTCTTTACAGGTCATTTTGAGTATGAAAATTTTATATTACATAAAAAATTATGAGTGCTTCCAAACTGCTTAATGGCTTTTTCCCCTATTGACACCACATTTTGAGGGAGTTCATCTGCCCAACACATTTATTGTGCTGTTTCCCTTATTGACTTAGTGACCTTCATTGATCTCTTCAGCAACCAGTTTTCTTGTATATTAATATTATATTAGTATGACGTCTTTTTCAGTTGACCGGCCAGTCTGTAGAGTTTACCTGTGGCTAGTCAGCCTCTTTTCTGAGCATCTAGTTTGAGTGTTTCATGAACAGACGTTGTCTCTGGAGGGTAGAAATTGAGTTGGAAGAGGAAATAAATTTATGGCCTTCATAAAGTCTCAAGGTGCTTTTCTACTTAAGTGATTGTTTAACAGGCATGAAGTGTTTGCTGTATCTGATTGTTTGTGTTAATTTATGTCCTCATGGCTGTTAGGTGGACCATTATGGAGGAGTGGAGGGTGAAAACAGGAGCCAGTGCCACTGAGTGCAAGCATGGATGCTCAGATGGGCACATTCCTGGTATTGCAGTGACAGCTCAAAGACCTTTCCCTCTCCAAGTCCCCGCCTCCCTTCTCCACACCCCTAGCACGCCAATCAAATCTCTTATTTCCCTAAACTGAAATAAAACGATGAGTTGTGCTAGTTTAAAACCACTTGACACTAGCATGGGGGATATTTAAGGACTGATCAGCCTCCTCTAACGTCTTTGGTAAAAATTTCAATTTTCCCAGGGCGGGAGGGGGGGTTATGAAAAAATACCATTGACTGTCCATGATGACATGATATAGGCTGTGGTTAAATGATAAGTAAGAACATGTGATTCTCATGAACTTTTACAAAAGATCTCCACAATTTAGTCCCTTAAACCCAAATTTGACATTTCTTCTGTATCATGTGAGAACCTCTGTCCTTTTTAAATTACCCTTCATGATGTTATGAAACTAAAGCTAAATACTCAGAATTGTTCATAAAAGCGATCAACTTGGGATAAAGTTTTTGATAACTTTTGTTTATTCTTTTCTGGATAAGATGTTTTACAATGAATATGCTTACTTTTTAGTTTTAAAAAATAATAATAATTGCAGAAATACATATATAAAACTCCTACATAGATCCTTGCCATAGCAAAGTAGGTTTACTTTTTTCATTTAATATGTTCTATCTGGCTGATAGTAAAGTAAGGCGACCTTACTTTTGTATGGTTCTCATATGGAGCTTCAATGAATTTAATAATGTAGATGAGACACATCATAATATCCTAAAACAAGAAAATTGTGTGCTATTTTTTCTTGTTTGCTGAGAATTATGTGATTAGCAAATCACATAAATAAGACCGTATTTTTTCATGCTAGTATGATGTCCCTTTTTTATATGCTGTAATTTATTTGTCCTCTTGTATGTATCAAGTTATGTTAACATAGAACATATAAAGAAACAAGACCCAGTTCCTGCCATCAAGCAGTTTACAATGCAGCTGGAGTAAAAAGACATTCGCTGACAGAGAGATTTAATTTGGCAATGCGATTGATGGTACAGACAAAAAGTGCAGTGCCTGATACAGTGTGTGTTACATCAAAGGCATTCAAGAAATGATGGATGGATGGATGGAGAAATGGATGGATAAATGAATGGATGGATGGATGGACGGATGGACAGGAGGGCAGATGGATTGACAAATTAGTTACCGGAGTAGAAAGGAGAAAATTTCACTGGTCACAGATAGTCGAATTTCAGTAAATGTCTTCTGAGTATTTTATTGGTCAGTGAATACTTCCAGAGGGAAAGATCGACTAGCCAGGCCTTCAGGAACGTAGAGTAGGGCTTAATTCTGCAGAGAGGAAGAATGAGGGGTTGTCAGGCCTAGTACTCAGCCTGGACAAAGGCAGAAAGGCAGAAAGCGCAGCCTCTGACTGGGATCTCTAAGAGCAGCCTTCCTAAAGCAAAAGGTTTGATGACGAGATTGTTTTGCAAGTAGAGTGGAACGGCATCTGACAACAATGTGACCATTAAGCTGACGTATTTAAATAATCCATAAGCACAGGCAGCTATATAATCATTTGCATAACATCATTCATGTGATGATAAAAAATGTTTTAGACAAAAACTGGAAGTATGACCTAGTATTTAATATAAAGTTATGAGACAGTTCAATAAGAAGTGGAGATTTTGAGTACCAATGGGAATTTGAAAGTATTTTTAGAAAGATCTACACATGTAGATATTACTGTATCACTTAAGTATTCCTGTACCTAATGGAAATTTCTGAGACAGTTATGTCAAATTCAGCTTTAGGTCAATAGGCATGCTGAAACCTAAAAGATTCAAAGACACAAAAGTGGCATAAAAGTCTAGAGGCCTCCAAATATTTCATGGATAAAGTTTAATAAATTTTGTATATGCTAGAAGAAAGATAATAATTTATGTCTTCTAAGGTAGTCAACCTAATTACTAGATATGTCAGAATATGGCTGTCTCTTGGATGTAAGATCTTCTCTCACTATGAGAAGTCATATACATTGTTACTTCTCTTTAAACCTATTATCTTATGAAAGCAATGATGTCATCGCTTAAATGCAAGTGATTAAACAGTGGGCCCTGGAGAAAAACTATGTGTATTGGAATCTAGTTCAACCATTGACTTGCTAGTTAATCTTGGTTGAGTTTTTGTCTGTTTTTCAGTTTTCTCATTAATGAATGGTGATAATAATAATAATGGCACTAACATCTGAAGATTGTTGGGAGGACCAAATGTAAAAATGTAGATGTGGAGTAACAATTCATAAATGATAGTCATATTACTGGTAGTGAATAAATAATGAAAACTGTACATATGTCTTATTTTCTTGACATGATTGTGTATTTGTTTTGCTTTATTTTTCTTTTTTTTTTTTTTTGAGACCGAGTTTCGCTCTCGTTACCCAGGCTGGAGTGCAATGGCGCGATCTCGGCTCACCGCAACCTCCGCCTCCTGGGTTCAGGCAATTCTCCTGCCTCAGCCTCCTGAGTAGCTGGGACTACAGGCACGTGCCACCATGCCCAGCTAATTTTTTTGTATTTTTTTTTTAGTAGAGACGGGGTTTCACCATGTTGACCAGGATGGTCTTGATCTCTTGACCTTGTGATCCACCCGCCTCGGCCTCCCAAAGTGCTGGGATTACAGGCTTGAGCCACCGCGCCTGGCCTTGTTTTGCTTTATTTTTCAAATCATTGCTGGAAAGATAGCTAGGATCCCACAGGGGTATGTTTGGGGTCTCTACTGAGTGACGTTATAACTCAACATATGTAGTTTAGTGAAACTGACCAGTCTCTTGCTTTCCACAGTGAGCCATCTTTATGGATTTGGACTGATGGACGCAGAAGCCATGGTGATGGAGGCAGAGAAGTGGACCACTGTTCCCCGGCAACACGTGTGTGTGGAGAGCACAGACCGACAAATCAAGTAATGCTTGCTGCTGGCAAACAGCATGACAATGCCCCAAAAAAGAACAAGCCAGTTAACTGCTCAGGACGGCCTCTTGTTGCACATGGAAGCTAAAAGCTTCTGTAGTTTCTCTCTAATGTGACTATGCAATTGTAATAGAATGTCTAGAATTCTGAGCTATTAAATTCATACTAGTATAGCCCAGGAATCCTTAAAAAAAAAACATCTTTGGCTCATGCCTGCAATCCCAGCACTTTGGGAGGCCGAGGCAGGAAGATCACAAGGTCAAGAGATTGAAACTCTCCTGGCCAACATGGTGAAGCCCTCTCTATTAAAAATAGAAAAATTAGCCAGGTGTGGGGGCATGCGCCTGTAGTCTCAACTACTTGGGAGGCTGAGGCAGGAGAATCGCTTGAACCTGGAAGGCGAAGTTTGCAATGAGCCAAGATCATGCCACTGTATTCCATCCTGGGCAGCAGAGCAAGACTCTGTCTCCAAACACAAAACAAACAAACAAACAAACAAAAAAAAAAACAAAAAAAAGGAAAGAAAAAAAGATACTTTTTAAAAGGGATTATGGGATATGCTTACCCCGGGCTCTTGAAAGTTTTCTTCTGTCAGTATTTTTATTTGATGGTACAAGTATTCTCCAGAAGTCAGTGTACTTTTAAAAACTGTAACAACTCTTTACAGTGTAGTTATCCAAAGAGTGGTGCAAAATGTACAGTAAATGAGATTGCAGTTTACTCACAGATTTCAGGGCCTATTCCCCAGTTTTAGTAGCACAGACTTGGAGGCTGTGCTGACAGCGTTTGCCAACAGGATTCTGTCTGAGTAGGCTTATTAGCGTTTTGCTCTTGGCTTTCTGTTCAGTGACTTTTCTCTCTGAAAAAGTATTTTTGATCTTTGGTTAATGATGAAACTAGAGTTATTGTATTTCTTGAGAAATTTCTTAGGAAGCAAAAGTAAATCAACTAAAGTTGTTGGGGTTTATTTTCATTCTACTCTTGTGGCCAAAAATGAGAGAGAAAAAACGAAAGGGTAGGAAGCTAACCAGTGTTTATTGAGCACTTACTGTGGGCCCTGCCAAGGGTAGAAACTTCATGTATGTTTTCCTCTTAAAGCTGTTTAATGACCTGGGTATTATTCTCATTTGAAAAATGAGGAAATGGGATCAAAGGAATTATTTGTTTATTTATTTACAAACTCATTCACTAAGTATTTTTCTCATAGTTACTGAATATCAAGCACGGAGCAAAATATTAGGAATAAAAAGGAGAATAAGTAATGCTTCCTACTACCCTGTGGAGCTTACAGTCTAATGAAGGCATCAAACCAAAAATGTAATAAGTAGATAATTACGAATTATAATCGAATGTCGGAAATTTTAAAAATGCAAAAAGTAAGCGATAAGGGACATATTTTCACCTATGGCTCGATGGAGGTCTCAGGGAGGGGAAATTTAAGCTTTGACCTTAAAGGAAGAAGACTTAGCCATAAGGACATCAACAACAACAACAAAAAGTACTCAGGCAGAGTAGTGTGTGCAAAGTCCCCAAGGTGGGAAACTTGAATTATCCCGGGGGTTGAATCTGATGGCACTGTGTACAGCCCCAGTGTTCAAGGGAAACTGTGGCAAAGGAGGAAGCTAGACAGGAAGACAGGAACCTGAAGGCAAGAGGGACGAATGTGCTGGTGGATTCTAGAACAAGGGATGTGAACCCCCGTATGCTAATTCCCAAGCTTCCACTGTACCACAGTGCAGTGGTTCTCATGGTCTGTTTCATAGATCAGCTACATTGCTGTCACCTGGGAACTTGTTAGAAATGCAGATTGTTGAGCTCCATCCTAGACCTACCCAGTCATACACTCGGGGGCCAGCAGTCTGTGTGTTAATAAGGTGATATCAATGCACACTCAGGTTTGAGATCTACTACCTGCATGAAGATGAAAGAACCTCATTCCTTTTTCACCTCTCCCTTGCATCTTTCCCGCTAACTGGTATTCCTTTCAGTGACCCAGTCATTTGGATGATAGCACTATTGTTTAGTATCCAGAGATGAGCTGCTTGTCTTACATTGTGTATTGATTCCACGCCTCCAGGTTCACTCAGTTGAGCTCTGTGATGTCATTTGTTCCCTCTCTCTCTGTTGCAGGACAATCCGCCCTAACAGTGCAGTGCGCTCCATCTACAAAGCTTCGGGCTGCTCGGATAACCCCAATCGACATGTCAACTACCTGGAGCACGTGGTTGTGCGCATCACCATCACTCATCCCCGGAGAGGAGACCTGGCCATCTATCTGACCTCACCCTCGGGAACTAGGTCTCAGCTTTTGGCCAACAGGTACAGCAATGGCCTCTGCCCACCAGTGTAGTGGTCACAGCCAGCGACACTCAGCTATTCCTTAGGTAGACGGGAACAGCTGCTGCTTTCACCTACCCTGGGAACCAGCAGAGGGGGCTTTTAGATGTCTTAATCTCACTGCTCATAAATACAGAGTGTAAAGCTGCCTGTAATCTGTGCACGTGGAGAAGTGGGGCCTTTAATAGTTGGCTAAGAAAACGATGCAGTAGAAAAATGGAAGGCCACTTGTTCTTTATCCTACAAAAGAACTGCAGAGCACTAACTCCTAAGGCCTCTGAGATCCCCTCCCCCACCATTAAGTGTCTTCCTGCCATTCATTACAGATTAAGTAAATTCTCTTTCCCGAGCACTTACTTTCAAAGGTTCAAGGAAATACTATTTTTTTAAAGTATTAACAGATTTTTCTGCACAAAGCCAGATAGTAAATATGTGAAGCTCTGTAAGCCAGGTCTTTATTCCAACTACTCAACTCTGCCATTCCAGTACGGAAGCCACCTAGACCATATAAATGAATAGGCCTGCCTGTGTGCCAGTCAACTTTACTGACACACAGGCAGTGGGCCAGATTTGGCCTGAGGACTGTGGTTTGCTGACCCCTGATTTTAAGGTTGACTCTCGAGTCTTCACTGTGCTTGAGGGCACTCAGTTTCTCTTGTTTGCTCTCTTCCCTGCTTCCTCCAGAATACTTCCTCAGCAGGTAAGTAGCTATATTCTGCACAGGCCAAGATCTTGCTAAGAGAAGATAGCCAGAATGTCCTATCACACATTTTCTTTTTCTCCCTTGGCTTTTTCAGTGGCTGGGAGCATGGGAGAAAGTTGTCAGCAAGTGGGACCGAAGACAGGAGATGTCAGGTTGTCTTACGGTCCTCATTCCCATGGTGGTTCTAAAAGGCAAACCACAGCCTAAAGCTTCTTTGATTTTTTTTTTCTCCCAGAAGAACATTTAATGGAAGCAAAAACTTTCTTATCAGTGGCATGTATAGTTCAAATGAAAGTCAACCTTTCATGTAGACGTAGCCACTTGTCCACACGCCACGTGACCATGGCAGTGGTGATCTTTGTTAGAACACTAACAACAGGCCAGAGGCGTTGAGAGGCAAGAGGCCCATGAAAGTCTACAGAACCAGCAGTGAGACTGAACGTGCCCAGTTGCTTTTAAAAACCCCCAACTTAATGTACTATAGGACAGTTAGAAAAGGAGAGAAGAATAGAACAGAATCTGAAATCTTTTTTTTTCTGAGATGGAGTCTTGCTCTGTTGCCCAGTCTAGAGTGCAATGTTGGCACAATCTCAGCTCACTGCACCCTCTGTCTCCCAGGTTCAAGCGATTCTCCTGCCTGAGTTGGAATTACAGGCACGGGCCACCACACCCAGCTATTTTTGTATTTTTAGTAGAGATGAGGTTTCACCATGTTGGCCAGGCTGGTCTTGAACTCCCAACCTCAAGTGATCCTCCCTTGGCCTCCCAAAGTGCTAGGATTTATAGGCATGGGCCACTGTGCCCAGCCCAGAATCCAGAATCTTCACGTGTATTTTATTTCTGTGCTTAGGCTTGCTGTGTTCTTTCAAACCTAACATCTTCCATTAGTATGTGAGAAACCTGGGTTTAGTACTTTAAATGTGAAGTGTGGCTTTGCCAGAATAAGCATATGCAGGTGCAAGGAACATAAGGATTCCTCAGCCTAGAATCCCTGGGCACTTCCTCATGTCCTCCTCCCACTGCAGACAAAGAGGCCTCAGCCGGCTGCCTGCAGGGAAATTGCAGCTACCTGCCTGAGTTTTCTTTCCAGCAAGCAAAACCTCAGATACACAATTACGTGATTAATGAAGGTCTCTCTAGCTGTTATTGCCGGAGCCAGGGAAGGCCTTTATTTCTTGCTTTTTTTTTTTTTTTTTTTCCTTTCTTTACCATTATTCATCTGGGTTTAACTTGAAAATGTATCCTGGTGAAACATTTTTAACTTGAAAACGTAACCTGGTGAAGTGCAAAGGTTTGCTTCACTGTGGACCATATTGCCCGAGCCCCCTCCCTTGCAGAGAAACAGTCCCTCCGCTGTTGCTGTTTGCTTGAAAAACTCAACCTCTTCAGCCTGTCTGGGCTCTTCCTGCATATTTCGCTATTTATTTTTGGCTTCCCCTGAAATGACGTCAGTGAGGAAACTTGTGAGCAGAGGCGCTATGGATTCCATCACAGTTATTTGGTGGATTGCAGTATCGCTGGCTTCAGGCTCACATACATTCTTCAACAGCCGACATCTGCTTTGCTCTTTGCAAAGTGCTGAACACAAGAGTGCTGCGTGACTTGTGTCAGAGAAAAGATACAGGCATTTGAGACGCTCAGTGACGGGAGCTTCCATAGCACACCTCGGTCTCCCTCATCAAGACCACCTGGGAATAAAGTTTGCTCCCAGAATGTCTTGGTGCTACTTGAAGCACACATTTCTTCAAATGCTGCTCTCATTTATCCTCCATCTCATTCCTGAAAATAAGTAGCCACCGAAGAGAGATAGAGAGCACGGAGACTGGAGGGAGCTGGACACCCCAAGAGATGTAAAGGATGTTGCGAATTCATTTGTCTACAAGCTCCCCGGAATTATTGCTCCGAGCAGCTGACCTTTTCCATGTGAAACAGCTGCGCCAGGTCCCAAAACCACGAATGGCCACCTTCCCGGGCCTGGCTCCCCTGCTCCCGCTGTGCTTGACACTGGTAGCGTCCCTCCTACCGAGGCAGCTCGAGAAAGACAGTTTCTTTTGGCACTCTTTCCATCTGGCGTATGCTGAAGCTTTCATTTCATTAGAGGAAACCTCTACTCAAAACCTGTCCGGCTCTGACCTAGTGGCAAGGAGGCCTCATGCCTTCTCACCTTGGCCCCAATTCAAAGGACATTCCCAGAATGGAGAGCTGGGAACAAGGGCATAGAAAGGGGTGGCAGGGAGGTGAAGCGAAGGCCTGCCTTGCTCCTGGTGTCCTTCATGTTGGTATGCAAGATAATCCATCTCCACGGTGGGGAAGGAAGAAATGAAGAGGTCAGGTTTTAGAAGGAATTTGCCAGAGATGATCGGTAACAGCAATAAATACCTCCCCTGCCAGACCCTTGTCTTGTTTTCAGAGAAATCAAGATTTCTCAGGAGGACCACGTAAACCAGTGAACAAAGGTTTGTTTTTTTTTTGTTTTTTGTTTTTTATTTTTAAAATAAGGATTCTGAAAAGTTTAAAACGATGTTTCCCTAGCAGAGGTGGTTTGGGATGAAGATGTCTGCTTCTTATGGCAGACTTTTCCCCATTTTATCTGTCCTACCCCTCTGGGGGCGGGGTGACTCTTTTCATCCAGAATTAGAATTTCCAACACTGCACACTTAGCTAGCCTGGCAGCCAACGTGGAAAACTCCCCACGGCCTCTGAAGCAGCTCCCCTGCTCCATGGCTTACTCACAGCAGACAGCGTGTTGGCTCCTGGGAGAAGGAACTAGAATCTGGAGGCTCACTTGGCATCACCTCTCCTTTGTGATGAAAATACCAGACACCGGACAATGAGGATGAAGCAGAGGGGGAAGAGTCCAGAGGACAGTGCTCTCCTGTTCAGTACTGACAAAATATGCATCCTAGTTTGGGGACCTGAAACTGCGGTCACTATGGTTGACTTTCCACAAGTCCTTATTTGCCTGGGTATTTCAGTGAGGAATTTCTTCAGAATTGTTTATCCCCTCGCCACAGGAATTCCTTGAGAGTCTGTTTTCTGCAACGTTCTGAACACGCTGATGTAGTCTGTGTGGGCCGTCTGGAGCCCCTCAGTGGCTCCCTGTCCTGGCTGATGGGCACTTGCCTGAACTCCCGTGGAGAACAGCTGTTAGAGGAGAAACAGTTTCCCCAAGCATCTGCAGGTGCTAAGCGCTGGAAGGCACTCAGCAGCATTCAGAGCTCCGGTCCAGCTTGAGCTCCATGCCCCATTAGCCCGGCTTGCATGCTCCCCTGGCAAGCCCCGTGGATCATTCAGTGGGTGGGCGCCGTGGGTCAATGGAGAAGTCCTGGAGTGGACTTTCCTTTGTTCTCCCCCTACCCTCCCACCCTCTCAGTTCTCCCCTTGGCCTGCATACCCTGCCTAACAAAAAGGCAAATTGAATATTCACAGCAAGTTATTTACTTCTATAAAGAGCATGGAGGCCAAGTGTGTAGGGAAAAGCCAGGTGGGCTTAGGTCCTTTGAAAATGTTTTTAGATGAGAGCAACTTCAGATATCAGCCTATATACTATGCCACATTCAAAGTCTGCCCGTGTCAAAATTTTTCAAACACAAGCTTATCCCAGCAGATTCTTTCTTCAGCTGCGCTTGTTAGAATTATGAAAAGCTGTCTTTCCGCCTCCTCCAAATCTCCCTCATTGAGTTTTAGATTTAGCTTAGATGTGCTGGCTCTCTGTTCTAAATTTTGGCCTCTGACTGAAAGCTGAAACTTTGCCTCCCTTTCTAAATTTGATTACAGATGCATATCTCTGCTTCTAATTATGGCCTTAAATAGAGAGAAGGTATACTTTCTAATCTGCAAAACCTATAGGGTCCTATAATTAAATATGTTTTAAATGTAGTGTTTATGCTTTAGTCATTTCTGTCACTTCCCTATCGAAATGTTCAATGACAGACTATTGACATTTGTAAGGCATCGTGGTATATAAATGCATCTGTGGCTTGCTGTAAAAATTAAACTTTTGCAGTGAATGTTTTACATTCCAGTAACACCCAACCACATGAACCTTCTCCCTTCATTCAAAAAAAAAGTACAGCCTTTGGAGTTAGACAGAGCTGGGTTTGTCTTGACTTCACCAGTATCTGTGTTTGAATTTAGAAAATCGAATTTCCTCACTTATAAAATAGATGTAATAGTATATACCTCACAGGGTTGGTGGGTACACATATTAAGATCATGTACGGTTACATTCTTAGCACAGTGCCTAGCATAATAAGCACTTACTAAGTGTAACTCTTAT